CATAGCACTGGGCTCTTCCTTAAACTTTTTGAGTATACTTTGACAAAAGACACAAAATTGGCAGAAATTGCAAGAAGTATACCTCAAAATGCAAAATACACTTCTAACCACATGCAAAATGAAATCATTGACACATTAGCACAGTGTGTACTGAATGAGGTAAAACAAAAATATGAAAGTGCAGACACATCAGAATTCTGTATAAAAAGTGATGGAACTCGAGATAGATGTAATGTGGAGAACCTGTCACTAGTGATAAGGTTTGTGTGCAACTCAGTTCCAGAAGAGCACCTAATTGGCCTGCTTGATCTTGAGCAGTTGAATTTGGTAGAGAAATACCATACATCCACTGCTACAACCACCAACTTCACTTAGCAGTAGTGCATGCCATTCAATCAGAACCTTGTGCAAGAACGTTTTTTGATTTGTCTTCAGCACTTCACTCACTTTTCCATCGCCAGTATGTTATACATAACTATGATGTCCCTTGCCTTAAAAGGCTGCTGGAGATTAGGTGGACAAGCCACTATGATGTGACAAAGTGTCTTGTAGACAATAAGGAGGATGTTTTGGCCATTCTCTCAGAGGTTTCACACAGCAGTACTGCACCCATGGATATCAGAACAGAAGCATCTGGCTTGATGGTGCAGCTAGAAACACACAACTTCTTCAAAATTGGCGATTTCCTTGTAAAAATACTTGGGGTCTTAAAACCTGCAAATGCTGTGTTCCAGGGTAACACTGTAAATTTATGTACAGCAAGTGAGGTCATCAATGCTTCCCTGCAGGCTTTAAAAGACATTAGGACAGATCCTTCATGGGATCAGTTTGAAATGAGAGCAGATATCCCTGGCCAAAAAAGAAAACGAACAGTGAACAAACACCTGTCAGACAGTGTTGTCCTCACCTCTGTTGGTCACACTGATTCAGATTATTTTAATGATCCAAGTATGTTTCTGAAAAGATCATTGCTGCATATTCTGGACAGAGCTATTGCTGAGATGGAAAGCAGATTCTCAGTAAAAAATCTTGAATTGATAAAGGCGGTGAACTCACTCCTCCCACAGTCTCCATCTTTTCTAGATTCCAGTATGCTCAGCCCACTCCAGCTTCTTGCTGGTAGTGAAAAAGAAAACCTAACAAATGAAATGTGTGTTGCCAAACCTATGTTGCTGAAACAGTTTCCAACCGAATCAGATCTTACAGCAATGTGCAAACACATGCAAGGGTACGAGGAAGCATTTCCTGAGGTTGTATGTAACAGCTTTAGTAATTGGAGTGTCCTCTGCGTCATGTGAAAGGTCCTTCTCTACACTGTCAAGGATTCTGACTCCTTTCAGACGTACAATGCTACATACAAGAAAAAGGAATTTAGTAATTTTGGCCCATGAAAAATCAATCACTAACAGCTTGGATTTGGATACATGTGTAGACCTTTTTGCAATGAAAAACAGAAGACTTGTTCTTTAAGGTAAAAATATAAAAGTGAAATGATGTACTTAGATTAGCTAGCATTTATTGTAGGCCCATATAGTTGTAAATATCGTTAGTATATAGTTCATGAACTTTTTAGAGTTTAATACCAAAATATAACCAACATAGAATTGTGATAAACGTAAATAACCAGCAATGTATATATTTAAAAAAGGGATGTAAATAAATGCACATGTAAATAAATACATAACCAAAATACATAAAAAGGCAAAACAAAAACAAAATAATCACATTCATGTACATGTTGTTTTTATTCTACACACACACACACACACAGACACACACACACATTTACTTAGCTAAATGGTGAAATAAAATAGATCTATATAAACATATATAATTGTAAAAAAAAAAGAGTAAATTACACACACACACACACACACACTTACTTAGCTAAATGGTGACATAATATATATATACTGTAAAACTCAATTAATTAGGCTTTTTGATTAATAAAATGTAATGTAACCATTAAAACAGAGTATAGAAAAATGAAAATGGAAAAGAAATGAATTTGGAAATAAAACGTATTTCATAGGGCTCTATAATTATAATTATTTTTTTTGTGGTAATAAAAATAGATGCAAGTGAACAATAGCCTTTAAAATTACGTAAAATACATATATAATAGCAATGAGGCAATAATAATTAGTTCAAATAAAGCATCAAAAGCAAGAAATCATATGGTTTTATTAAACAAAACTGTTAAAATACATAATGTATTATAAACAATAGAGCTAATGTACATTAGGCATTACAACAAAGGCCTGCAGAGGGCGCCAACGGCCTGATGATTGTTTTTACACATTACTGTGCGA